AAATAGGTGAGATAATGGCCCAAGACCTATAAAGGCCATCATTGTTCTACATACTTTGGGTTTCCAGGTAATGGTGACTTTTTAACTTTTTTACTCCTTATCAAGAACCTGCGGTTTGTTGGGGGAGGAGGGCTGTGGTCTGAAATTCCGAGCTGGTGTTTCATACGAGGCCAAAAGGGGTTTTAGCCTATGGGGGTTTAGTAGGAATTAGAGTTCCCATAATAGGGTTCATATTAAGGAATCCCTACCCCAAGAATCTTAAACACCCCTTTTCGCCTCCCATCAGTGTTGCTTTGAAGTGAGCCTGGGGTGCTTTGGGGCTCATGGATCTCTGGAGGCTACACTGGATGTTTCGGTTTCGTCCAAAAGCTAGGCAAGGGCTGCTGCCTCAAAGCCAGATGGACGTGCAACCCTCACCACAGGTTTTGGGTTCAAGCATTGAGGGTTGGAGGTCTAGGGACTAAGGTCTAGCGCTTAGTGTAGGGCCTGCAGATCAGTGGGTATGTGTGCATGTATGTATGCACGTGCATGCATGCATGCAACGCCCGCTATAATAGGCTTCACGTGTTGAAACACGACACTCTTTAGAATCATGGCTTTTGGATGTTTTGGTGCGATGTGCGGTGCAATGTCTGAATTAGGCAAGAGAGTTGACAAGGGACAATCCTAGCTTCAGCAATCACAATTACAGTCAAGCAAATCAGCTAATCAATCTGTCCCGCCGAAATTGCAGTGTAGGCCCGGGGTGTTCGGGGCACTGGCCACCAAGGCCACCAAGGCAGCGAACTTTCAATTGTTAAATCATTATCAACTTAACCAACCAGTTCGGCCCCACGTCTCCGAACCGCGCGGATCAGGATAAATCGCGATGCCTCAAAGGCAAGTCTGTGCTTGTGTTTGTTTTGAGGAGGGGTGGAGCAAGCCCCGTTGAGCCCAATCAAGACCATATGGGAGTTTCCGAAAATAGGGGACCCTAATATAGTAACCTAAATAGTAGGATCCATATTACCCGTAACTCTAAGCCAAAGGCCGCACCATGCCCCGACAAAAATTCGAAAGTCCTAAAGGCCAATTCCCTGCGTTCCCTGATGCCGTATCAGCGCTACACGCTTACATGTTTGTTTTGCAGTACCTGCCACACTGAACAGTCCGACAAAACACCGTAGACCCTGCAGGCATCCAGGATCGGGGCTTGCGTTCTATTTTTGGGTTTTTTGCACCAGAAGTTGCAGCGATGTATGTGCGGCGGACTAGCAATGACAATGATATCTGAGCTTCCGGAGTGATACCCTCACCCCCGAACTCCCAAGCTGTCAACACCACAACCAGTGATAGCAACGGACGATCAGCCTCCCGATCCGCACATTTTTGTTCATGGAGCAGCCTTTGGGGTTCACGGGTGGCATTGGGTTTTAATCTATAGTCTCCTTATGAATATTTGTTATTTTTGTTCATATAAAACCTAAGAGAATATTAGACATAGTTTTTTTATTGTGGTTGTAGGGGGGGTATAGATTGAGGATGTAGATCATGGCAGCTTAGCTGTGGGTGCGGCTCAGAGAAAGGCGGTTTGGGTTCTAGGGTTCAAAGTCAGCCCTAGTCTCCGAGTTCAGGGTTCAGCAAGCCCTAGTCTTACCGGCGATTTAGGTGTTAATATACCTATAGTCAGTCTCCGTTGTAGTTCCATTTTCTGGTTTACCAAAAAATATATATTATAGGATCCGTAATCCTAACCATAAAACTGGTTAACCAATACAAGGAACTACAATGAAGACCACAGGTAGTGTGCGTGAGTATTTAGGGGGCTTGCGGCTGGCCCTCCAGCGTTTCATAGATCTTGCAGAATCGTGAGCCGCCTTGAGTCCCCCCTATTCGTCAGGCAGCATGACCCAAGTTATGGAGACCTTCCGTCGGGTCACTGCCAGGCAAGTGCAGCCCAGCTGTTCGGCCCCAAACCCTATCAACCTTTTAAAAATCTAAGCCCTAAAGACAAGCTCAAAACCCTAAAGCTCTAAAACCCTTAAAAAACCCTTTTAAAAATCTAAGCCCTGAAGACAAGCTCAAAACCCTAAAGCTCTAAAACCCTTAAAAACCCCTTTTAAAAATCTAAGCCCTAAAGACAAGCTCAAAACCCTAAAGCTCTAAAACCCTTAAAAAACCTCTTTAAAAATCTAAGCCCTAAGACAAGCTCAAAACCCTAAAGCTCTAAAACCCTTAAAAAACCCCATTTAAAAATCTAAGCCCTAAAGACAAGCTCAAAACCCTAAAGCTCTAAAACCCTTAAAAAACAACTTTTAAAAATCTAAGCCCTAAGACAAGCTCAAAACCCTAAAGCTCTAAAACCCTTAAAAAACCTCTTTAAAAATCTAAGCCCTAAGACAAGCTCAAAACCCTAAAGCTCTAAAACCCTTAAAAAACCCCATTTAAAAATCTAAGCCCTAAAGACAAGCTCAAAACCCTAAAGCTCTAAAACCCTTAAAAAACAACTTTAAAAAATCTAAGCCCTAAAGACAAGCTCAAAACCCTAAAGCTCTAAAACCCTTAAAAAACCTCTTTAAAAATCTAAGCCCTAAAGACAAGCTCAAAACCCTAAAGCTCTAAAACCCTTAAAAAACCCTGAACCGTAAAACCCTGGACGGGCTTGGGGACGGGAAGTCGTCAGGGTTCTGCAGATACTTCTGCAGCATGACATATAGGGAACTCCAGAAAGTTGGAATATGGAATACTGGCAGGATCCCCTATAATTTACCTTAAAGGGATTATTATAATGATATTCCAACTTTCTGGCTTTTACCTTAGGCTACTGACTTTTGGAGGTTCATGGGTAGTTATTTGTAGGGTTATAGGTAGGGTAGCTATGGTTATGACCTATATTGGGGGACTTCTAACCCCACTTATAACTACCCATGAACCTCCAAGTATGTAGACCTATCAGCTACAGAGCTTCCGTGCCTTAGGGTTTAGGGTTGTAGGGCGTAGTCAAAGGGGAAAAGTAGGGACCCTTAATGGGGACCCCTACCCTATAATGGCTATATAGTGGGTATATACTAGCTATATGAAGGGCACATACCTAGCGGTCCTTATTAAGGGTCCCTCCTTTTACCCTTGGACGTAGGGTTTGTGGAGTTTAGACTTCGCGGGTTTCGGGGTTTGGGGCTGTGGGGGATCCTCCGGTCATTCGTTTGCAGCTTCGGAGATGCATAATCCAAGAGAGCCCAATACCCCTTTATTAAGGAATATGGCTGAAATTATATAGGGCTTCATATTATGATTTAAGCTATATTCCTGAATTGAGGGGTATTGGGCTCTCGGGGATGTAGGAACCTGATTGAGAAACCCTGGTCCTGTAACCCCAAAATAGTAGGATTCACATAAGGAGCCCTAAGAAAGGCCCGAGGTTTCTTAGCTCCTACATTAAACCCTAAACCCTTTGCAGAATCTCAGATAATCTAAGAACCCTTACAGATCCCTCTATCAGGAACCCTTAAGGGATCCCAGTTTCGGTTCTGAGCAAGAGGATCCCCAAGTCGGGAGAGACAGGTGGCAGTGGGCGATGCCCACGCACCACTGGGGCGAACCAGCAGAATGTCCGGCCCGCCATGTTTTTGCTCCAGGTCGTGGCTGGGCCATAAACCCCCCTAGCCAGCACTTTGCACGACTGATTCGACATAGCGATTGAAGCTGGGTTCCAGATTTGCTCTTGCGCACATGCATCGAACACGGAAAGACTACGGGTCAGACAGCGTGCGTACTACATGCAAGACCGCGCATGACTCGTGATATGGCAGGGACGCATCCGTCCGTGAACCTGGTCACTCTGGCATGGCCTTGTATGCACAGTTTTCGTTTATAGTACAATTAGCAAATAGCACCATTTTCAAAAATGAAACTTGCGATTCGTTTGCAGCTTCTTCGGAACTCTGCCACTCTGCTGCCTTCCATTACTGCTGGGAATGCGTTCATGCAATCCTTGGGCGACTCGTTCTGCAAGTGTTCCTTTTGAATTTCGCCTTGGTTGCGTCTCGTGGGCGGAATGTGCCTGCGCAAGCTGCTGCTGCAGCTGTTGTTCTTGCTCTCTCTTCTCCTTGTGCGCTGCTTGCCTTACTCCCCTTGCTTGCACTAATGGCTGCTTCTCCATAAGACGTTGCGACATCGACAATGACAGCATATAGCGACGACTATGACTGCCCCGTGCTTAGAACCCATCCTGCGGCTTTACAGTTATAATTGTTGCTCCTTAAATCCTGCTTTGGCCATTGCAGCTGTTCATTCCTGACGAGAAGCATTGCAGCTGCAGGAGTTGCAACTTTGGATATGGAAACTGCCAGCAGGAGCTACCATACGCAACACTGTCGCCGCGGGGCGTGGCCTTCGTTGGAGGCGCATACCCTGCTGCATCGAAAGTGTTTTTTGTTTTGGGTGTCTTGGTGGCTGGAGTGCGACGAATGCCTTGCTCGAAGCCGGACATGAACACATCGACATGAGGCACAACAGACAACCCATGTTAGAAATGTACTGCAGCGGTGGATTGTAATGTACTAGTAGTAGCAGCAGCTGCAGCAGCAGCAGCAGCAGCAGGAGTAGTAGTAGTAGTAGGAGTAGCAGTAGTAGCAGTAGCAGTAGTAGTAGTAGTAGTAGTAGTAGTAGTAGTAGTAGGAGTAGCAGTAGTAGTAGTAGTAGTAGTAGTAGTAGTAGTAGTAGTAGTAGTAGTAGTAGTAGTAGGAGTAGGAGTAGTAGTAGGAGTAGGAGTAGGAGTAGGAGTAGGAGTAGGAGTAGGAGTAGGAGTAGGAGTAGGAGTAGGAGTAGGAGTAGGAGTAGGAGCAGGAGCAGGAGCAGGAGTAGGAGCAGGAGCAGGAGTAGTAGCAGCAGCCTTGCACCGTAGCAGCAGTAGTCGTCGTCGTCGTCGTCGTCGTCTTCGTGCCGGTCCTCGTGCCAGTGCTAGTGCTGCTGCCAATGCCAGTGCCAGTCGTCGTCCTGGATCCTGGTCCTCGTCGTCGTCAATGGTGGTGGTGATGGTGGTGGTCGTGGTGGTCTAGTGCTACTTGTGATACAGTTTCAGACAATGATATCTACTGTGGTCTTTGTGAAACCTCTCCAAGCCCTAGTCCAACAAAACCATACCGAAACCGAGAGTCCGATGAGAGGACTCTCATGGATTTGCTGGTACCTCTTGCAACTCGCATGGGGGCCTGGTTGTATCGCTGCTTCCTCGTATATGTATGTACACACATGTAAATGTATATACATATATATATATACACAGATGGATGTAGAGGTGTATGTGTGTATGCATGTATGCATGTATGTTTGCATGTATACGTCCATATAACATGTTTATTATTTCATGTACATACATATATGTAGAGAGAGCGATACGCATGCATACAGACATATATATATATATGTATATATATATATATATACACACGATATGACTGCCGCCGGTGGCGGAGCACCGAGCAGACAGGCCTAGAACCTAAGCTCAACAGCACAGCCACGGTACTACAAAACTGGGATTCTTAAAGGCTCCCGAAGTTGTCCTCAGGAAACCTTAAACCCTAAACCCTAGCCCTCAAACCCTAAACCCCAACCCCTACACCCTAAACCTTAAGGAACCGAAGTCTGCTCCCTAGGTCAAAACTCAGGTGTTCGAATGGTTTGCGGTTTCAGGATTTCGGTTTAGGGGTTTAGGGCTTTAGGGTCTTCATTTAAGGCCAAGAGGAAAAGGCCGTCGAGTTTCTCAGGTCCAGGAGGAAACACTCAGAAGAGAGAGTATTTAGCATCCTCCTGCCTCAGAGTGTGTAATATAGCAGCTTCGCTGAATGAATAGTCAGCAATACCACTCCGCAGGGTTCCTTGTAATTTAGGGTCACGATTCTATAAAGCCGACTCTAGTATAGCTATATGGGTGGTTGTCAAAATTAGGGTCCCTTTTTGGGTCCTTAATATAGTACGGCACCTAATATTTAGGGTACCCCAAAAGGGACCATAATTTTGACAACCACCCATATATGGACAGGGCAATGCATGTGCCAGAGGCTTGAATCTCCGAAGACGCGCCCCGACTAATCGTTGCAGTTGAGGGTTTTACGATATGGGTGGTTGTCAAAATTATGGTCCCTTTTTGGTTACTCTAAACATTCGGTGTCGCATTATAATAATGACAACCACCCAAATATCTATGTGCGGACAGTTTTTGGGTTGAGGGGTTCAGGGTTCAGGAATAGTCACAGTCACATGCTCGGTCTATAGCGGTGTCGGTTTATACAAACTGTAGGATATCTGAGGGCGCAGCACATTCTCCAGCCTGGTCCTTCTCCAAAAACTGAAAAAGCCAGACTCTCCCGGAGCTTTAATGCAGGAACATAGGGGCACCTTAAGCCCCAGGAGCTTTAACGGTTTAGGGTTCAGGTTAGGGTTTGTTTGTAGATAGATAGATAGATACATGGTTAGGGTTTGGTTTGTAGATGATAGATCGATAGAGTGTATAGGGTGTAGGGTCCATCTTTATGTATCTATATAGGGTATATTAGGGTATATAGAGGTGTTTGAGCTCTAGTCCAAACTTTTTGTTGATGCCAAGGTCCTCCGTGATCTCTGCAGAGCTGCCCATGTCAGCACCCAGAAGGTGACACCCAGAGATACGAGTTTATCAGGTAGGGTTCAGGGGTTTGGGGTTCGGGGCTTGGGGTTTAGGGATAAGCCCCTAAACCCTATGGTAGGGTTTAGAGTTCAGGGTTTAGGGACACGACGCAAAGACCCAAACCCTGAACTTGTACAAGTTTACCCGGTAGGGTTGAGGGTGTTGGGTTCAGGGCTGTGCAAGTCCACAGTGAAGAGGCTAGGACTGGATAGGTACTGTCCATGCAGGGTTTACTGATTTCGATTTTCAACGGCAACCGTGGAAGCTCAACCGTCAATGCTTTCACAGCTCGGAACGCGGCGCAGCATTTCCACGCGCAAAGAACCCTTTAAAGGAACCCTGCTCTAATTAATTACCTAACCCCCCCCCCCCCGGTATGTAGAATAATTGCCTTTTATAGGTTTTGGGCCATTATTTTGGCTACCTTTGGGGGTTTAGGTAATCATAAAATAGTGGCCCAATACATATACAAGGTCATTCTTCTACCTACTTTGGGGGGTTTAGGTATCGCTCCTACTTAAAGGATGATGGGACTTAGTAACTAGGGTTACAATTAGGGCAACTCTACTTATAACTACTTATAACCCCAATTACGGTACTTACAACCCTACTTGCTAAGTCCCATGATCCTCCAAGTATCCTGATTTCACGGAATGGGTCCGTGCGTGCAGCGCGCAGAGCCCAAAGATGCATTGCAAGGCATTGAGGAGTACCTACAGTAAACCCCAGAAAGTTGGACACCGGATTAAGGCCAAATAGTGCTGGGATTCCCTTTATTTGACTCTTAAGGATTTCGGCTATTGGGTTTCCAACTTTTCGGCTTCTACTGTAATTTTCTATAGAACAGATCCTAACCATAAAACATCATAAGACTAGGTATCCCAAAAAAGGGGTAGGGTATGAGCCTCTAGGTGGGAGTTTAGGGACCCCAAAAAGCACATAGGCATAAGCATTTTATGGTGACATCCCTACCTTATTGGGCTTTATTATGAGTGGTTTATCTGGGATATCCCGATCCGTATTTTCGCTTATGTGCTCTTTGGGGCCCGATAATCGAGGGTTTAGGGGTTTAGGGTTTAGGATTTAAGGTTGCAAGATGGATCGAAGAGCAGCGAGTTGCGAGTTTGAAGTTCTCCTTGAGCCCTGAACTTTTCTGCACGGAGGGCTGCATCACAGGCCTCCAGCGGCAAATGAGTACCAACACTTTTTTCCTGGTGGATCCTATACTGGCATAACTCCCCAAACCCTACTCCATTAACGATTAAGATACCAATATTGATCAGTCTCCGACTTCTCGGAAAGGTCATGGAACTCCACGCTTTAAACTCACTCCATGCGCTTGGTGCCTGCCTCAGCTTGCCCGGGATGAAGGATGCCCAAGTATGCTCGTGCAGCTAGCCATACTAGGTGCACCAGGCTTCATGACACGCTGACAACGGTGGCAGCAATAACACAACATGATGCCAGCATAGATTCCCCGACGGTGACAGAGCATCACGACGACCAAGACGACCACGACCACAAGGACCACGAGGACCGCCAACGACGACCACCGCGACCAGGACGACAACGTCCAGAATACAGAAGGATGCCACGAGAGGAGACCAGGAGACCACCGCGCAAGACCACAAGGAGACGCCAAGACACCAGGCCACCGTTATGTAGGGTTTAGGATTTAGCGCTATAAGGGTTTAGGGATTAGGGCTTTAGGGGTTTAGGGTTTCTTGAATGTTTAGAACCTAAATGCTTCCTCCATGCCACCACGGGATGCAGGACCGCGTGCCCACATGCTGCGCCCACATAAAGCCACACCGAGGCCCATGTATTCAAACCTACAGTAAATCGCTCTTTCCGGAGAAAGCTACACCCATCGTGTGTAAACGATGGGGAGTACAAGCGCGCCAGAGGCTGCATTCGTGGGAGCGTGGCCTGAAGAAACACAATTCTGCAAAGCTGGAAGTTGCCTTCAGATTAGGAGCCACGCTGTTGATGATAGAAATCCTGCAATACCTTAAGGACCCTAGACTATGGGAATTATGGTATACTCCTTATTATGGGTCATGCAAAACTTATATCATCAACCACAGCACCGGTCTGCAGTCTGTTCTGTCTAGCCAGGGCAAAGGGTTTCGGGTTTAGTGAGAGAAGCAAGGGTTTCAAGGAAACAGGGTTTCAGGTTTACAGCTTTCCCTAAGCCCCAAACCTGAAATCCAGAACTTCATAAAGTTCCGCCCTAAACCCTAAACCCTGAACCGAAATCCAGAACTTCATAAAGTTCCAAGCTAGGCTGGGCCTGTTTCCTCATCAAGAAGCTACGCGGCCCTCTTGCCGACATTTCCCACAACTGCTCCAGGCTTTGGCCCTCTGTAGAGGGCTTCGAGTAGTAGGGCTTCATGGGATCAGCATTCAGGGTGTAAACAAAATTAGGAGAACTTGTTCATTGTCATGAGATCGTTAGTTTGAGTTACAGGTGTTTAGGGTGTTGAGGCCTTTTTGGGCATCCAGTGTTTCACGTGATTGAGTGAGAGCTTCTCGGCTCTGAGGGTGTGGGGTTGATTCGGGGGTTTGCGGCTTTCTGGGCTCAGGGTTTCGGGTTTACCCATAGGCCCCAAAGTAGTTCCTTTTGGGGCTTTAGAATTCTAAAAGGTAATTTTGGGCTTTAGACTTCTAAAAAGGTAATCCCAAAAAGGAATTACTTTGGGGCCTATGGGTAGTGTTTAGGACTCGCTTCGAGGCTTCGCATTGGAGCTTTCAGTTTTGGGGGCTCGGGATTTCTCGGCTTCCCGGCTTCCATGAGTTGGGTTTCAGGCTCTGGGGGGGGTTTGGGCGTTTGAGGTTGAGGGTTTAGGGTTTAGGGTTTAGGGTTTAGGGTTTAGGGTTTAGGGGTTTAGGGGTTTAGGGGTTTAGGGTATAGGGTTTAGGGTTTAGGGTTTAGGGTTTTGGAGTCTAAGGTTCTGTGAATGAGAGTGTGATTCTGGAGTTTCACTAGGTATGGGATTAGGATATTTGCGCTCTGCTTGACCAGTCGTTTTGTCGTATGATGAGACCTTAAAGCACCGAAGACGATGTTCCGTGAAGTTGTCCCTACACAGATACAGACTGCACATCCCCAACACTAGGTTGAAGAACGCAGACGAGGCTCCGAGTGCAGAGCTGGGCAGCTCTGCAGTGTGTTGACCCCAACGGTACAATAAATGTCAGAATAGTTTGGAATAGTAGTGCCCCGTACTAAGTTACGAAGTTCTGCATCTTTAACCATGCTGCGAGATACCCCCAAATCCTTCTTCGAAGTCTTCTCGTGACTACAAATAATTACATACAGATACTGCGATCTATTCCTATTAAGGCCACTGCCTGTCTTCCTGCGTAGGCCAGCAAGCTGAGTTCCTCCCCTTTCCGAACCCTCTGCCCTCCACACGGGTAGTTGTCAAAAATATGGTCCCTTTTTGGGTACCCTAAATACTTGGTGCCGTATTATAATAAGGACCCAAAAAGGGACCCTAATTTTGACAGCCACCCACACAAAATCGTATCCCCCTTCAGCCAAAAGCTGCGCGAAATCTGCAAACCAAAGCCCTCGTGTTCCGAAAACCTAGTTAAAACAGAGTCGCCTTAATTGAGTGTTCCTGATAATAGTATTCTTTGGGGATTTCTTGTTTTTGCGAAACCATAAGATACCCCAAGACCCTGTTCTACTGATTAACATTACGCCTTGACTCCTAAACCCTAAATCTCAAACCCGAAACCTTAAACCCTAGGCCCCTAAACCTCTAAACCCCACCCTAAACCCTAAATCCTAACCCCCTAAACCCCTAAACCCTACCCTAAACCTTAAACCCTACCCTAAACCCTAAGCCCCTAAACCCCCAAAGCCTACCCTAAACCCTAAGCCCCTAAACCCCTAAAGCCTACCCTAAAAGCCTAATCCCTAAGCCCCTGAGCCCCTCCACCCCAAAACCCCTACCCTGAACCGGAATCAGGGGCCTGGTTCTCTCTCTGGGCTTCTACCTCCATGACATCTGGGTGCTGCGCGGCACCCTCCTCCGGAACCAGGGCCTTCACAGTGGAACCGTTTTCTTTCCTTTTTTGTAGTCCTAGGTTCCTTATTAAAGGTACCCAATACCAAAAAGAGAGTCCTTTTTATTCCTAGGTTACTGGGCATCCTAGATTAGACACTATAACATGGAGACATACCCTTCTAAACCCCTACTCAGAGAGCCCAATACCCCTTAATTAAGGAATATAGTTAAATCATCATGTGAAGCCCTATATAATTTAAGCCATCTTCCTTAATTAAGGGGTATTGGGCTCTCTGGGTAAACCCTAACCCCTAAACCCCTAAACCCTAAGCCCTAAATCCCTAAACCCTAAACCCCTAACGGGGCATCCTAGGAACCCTTCGATGCTAGCACACCAGGCAACCATGGCCGCATGCTCAGGCTTTCCGGCTTTGTAAGGCCCCCCGCTATCCCGAAAAATGGGGGGCCTTGAGGATTAGAAGAGTGTAGGGTCCCTTTAAAAGGGTGTCTATAAGGGCTACTATAAGGGCTCTTACAAGGATTTAGTGTCGGGGCCTTCATAATTAGGATAGGGTTTGGGGGTATACTAGACGGTTGTTATTATAATAAGGAACCCCCAAATTAGTATAGGTGATTATGAAAGCCCCTATATTATGTGCATCTTTCGGGCTTTCACGGGGGTCTGCAGTAGAGTCTGCAGGGCGTTACAGGGTCTTGAAGGGACTTGCAGGCTTTAAAGGGTGATGACTTCTTGTAGACACCTTCAAATCGGGCTTTAGTTCAGAATAGATCATGTTCCTTTGGGGCTTGTGTCGCTATCATTTCTGGAGCGACTAAGCTTGCGCAGATTTATCAACTTCTCTGGCAAATGATGTTAGCCTTGGAATTTCCGCGGGAGGTGCTGGCTGAGAGATGGACCGGGAATGGAAACATTGTTTCGAGTGTGGTGAAGGCATGAGGACATGACACACCCTCTCATCTTCATATTGTTTCCCTAAAGCAAGATCCTGCAAGTTTGAAGGTTCAGGGTCACGGTGTAGCGGTGTCGGATGCTAGGGCCATGTATGATACCTGGGCTTGCAGGCTGAATGTCTCAGCCCTGCAGTGGCCGCAAGAAGGGGCGGTTAATGCTTGGTTCCCCTCTACCCAGAACCTCCAAAACCCCTTAATTCGGGAATATACCTTAAATTATGGTAGGATCCCTAGTATGATTTAAGCACTCCTGCCTTAACTAAGGGATATCGAAGTCTCTGGGTAATTAGGACATTGACCATTGATCTTCCTCTCTGAGATTTGTGCGCCAGTGGGAAAAACTAAACCCAAAGCTGCAAAACTAAGCCCCAAACTCGAAGCCAGATTCATGTGGGTAGTTGTCAGAATTAAGGTCCCCTTTTGGGTACCCTAAATAATAGGTGCCGTATTATCATAGGGACCCCAAAAAGGACCATACTTTTGACAACCACCCATGTTTAGAATGAAGAGTGCTCGTCCGAGTTTGGGGTTGAAACTTCTGTGCCCATTCCTAACCCTAAGGGTCCATGTACCTAAATAGTATATACTTTGGGCCCAATGTACCCATATGGGGAGTACTTTAAGGCCAATGTATATACTATTTAGGTACATGGACCCTCAGGGTAAGCCGATACTCTAGATCCCGCGCTTCAAATCCTAAACCATGTTCCTTTTCAATCATCTCTTTTGATGTATACTGAGTCGTGAGAAGAAGAATATGTATGCAATATTTGTATTGGTTATACAATAAATCCTTTCAACCTCATACACCCCAGCCCAAGACCCTCAACAAGCACTCAAACCCCAGACTTCAGCTAAACCGCACCGCTAAGTATACTCTACCAGACCCCCAAGTCTCCTTTCATGGCTGTATGCTCCTCTTATGCTCCTGAAAAGCGGGTACTTTGGGGTGTTGGTAAACCTTAAACCGGGTTGGTAAACCTTAAACCGGGTTTAGGGTAAGTTTAGGGTTTAGGGTTTAGAACCCAATTGAGCCCTAAACCCACCCTGGTCCACCCGAGGCCTTGACCATCTCTTCCATCCTTCGCTCGAAGGCTTGGTCTCTGTATAAATAAGGTAACCATACTTACAATAACTTATAACCCCAAGTAAGGTACTTATAATCTTACTTGAGTTTAGGGTTTAGGGAGTGATTTGTTTGTTTGTTTTGTTTTTGGCGTGCAAAGGGTTAGGGTTCAGGCCGGAGGGTGGAGGCTTGGACTTGGAGAGAAGTTTGTGGCTAAAGGATAATTTTGTAGACTTGCGTTCTTGAGGGAGGATCGAGGCGCGAGATCCGTTTCGGGCCTAGGGGTTCGGTGTAACCGGGATCGGACGAAGGCTTTCGCGGGTGGCCTAGTTGCCTAGCCACAACCGCAGGACGAAGGTTCGCCACACTGCCTTTAACTCAACATATGTAGTAGTGCCACACTTTTTCGCCCTTACACTCCTCCACAACATCCCCAAGGCTCTCCGCCGAGAACATTATAGTAGTATATATAATTTTTTTCTGGGAAGTTAACTACTCCGCCACGCTGGCCACGTAAAACGGACTTCTGGCCGCTCCGCTTCTCCGCGGTACACAATCATGGTACTTTGAGGCAATCCTCTGTATGTCTGGTGATGTAGAAGCGCCTCAATCCTGAACGTGAAAAGCCACCAGCCCACTGTGTTGTCATTGTACATGTATACGTGTTTTGCACATGTATATGTGCATATAGCATATTATATATATATATATATATACACATGTGCATGTTCATAGACACATGCACATACACAATGCAAGCATACGTGTATGCACACATCCCTACCCACACATACATACATGAATACCAGATGCTAATATATAATAATATAATATGTACATACTATATATATATATATATATATATATATATATATATACACACATACACCCACACATAAATGGGAATGTCTACCTGTATATACATGTTACATGGGTATATATGTATATATATATACATGTGTGTGCGCACATCTATACATCTATCTATCTGTACATGCATACAAACATACATGCATGCATACAGGCATCCATGCATACATACATACATGCATACATATGCACACGAATCTGTGTAGACTGATATACATGTGTATATATATATATATAGATATATAGATATAGATACACCTACGTGCAGAAACGATGTGCATGTATGCATACAAGATTTACGGTTCAGAGTTTGAGCCCAGTTTTACTTTCAACACCACAACGGAAAGATCTGCCAGGGCGTCTCATGGTTGGCCACTTTCTTGATGAGCTCCTCCGTGCCCACGTGCGGGGACCTGTAAACATGTCTTTCGGGTTTGGCAGGACTCAGACTCAATTTCTGGAAGCGTGTGTGGGCTTTTGGCGAGATGTCTTTTTGCATGTATGTTGGGATTTTGGTGATTCTTCTGCGGGGGTGATCTCTCGATTTTGCCGCTATCCTGAGATCCTGCGACAGAGGCAGTGCACAAAATCATGTACATACAGACAAGCCAGCCAAGAAACTCGGTTCAGTAGTTGAGGGATGAGACAAACAAGTGGAAAGGCAGCAGAAGCCACAGAGGTTAAGCCCCTAATCCGCTTGCTACGATATATGTAGGGGGCTCCCACCCTGTAGTAGTGGTATAACAGGAATACAATAGGGCCCTAATATACTTCTTATAGTCACTATTACAAGGTAGGTACAGCTTCTAAGGTATATGTTAGACTTACAAAGTCCCCTGCCCTTCCAAGTTGGAACGCAAAAATGATGCGCAGCTTGTCAGGCGACTTTAGAAAACAAGATGCACATAAGATCGTGCTGATCCAGTACACTGGCAGACCTGGACAAAACAAAACTGCTCCTCATGAACACTAAGACGAACAATATATGTTTACATGATGCGAGCGATCCAACCAAATACACAGACCTGACCAGTGACTAGCGGGCAAGAGAAGATTTTGTGCTCTTAACAAAGAAGAAGATATCGAGCAATGCATATAATCGTAGTACAGCACGTCTACATTATCTCTACCTGCCCCCGCACCCCCGGAAGAGAAAGAACAAGAGGGCTGCGACATGGCCGAGGCTTCTGCAGGAACTGCTTCTGCTTTGCGGAACTCTCCGCCTCCCTCCGACCCGATTGGAGGCAGAAGCTGGTGAAGGTATAGCTTCAATTCGCTAGTATCAATGTGAGTACTACCTGAACCCCCAAAAGGCAGGTACAATAATGACCGAAAGCCTATAAAAGGCCACTATTCAACATACTTTGGGGGTCCAGGTAGTAACATGGGCATTTCCCAGTACAAGCTTCGATGGTAGTTAGTCAACTCTGACTCTAATCAATGCGACTCCCGATCAAAGCTCGTCTTCTTGAGCTTGGGCCGCTCTGGCCTGTAGGGGCCTTCGTAGAAAGACCAGGTTTGTTTTATGTTTGAAGGTTCTGGACGGGGGGGGTATCATATACAGGTATGGGGGCGACAAGGGGATATACTAACGGGATACTAGTACGAATTCATCCCCCCTCAAAAATCATCAAAATACAGGGCGAGAGTTTTGGGTGGATGTGGGTGTCGCCCTCCCCTACTTTTTTGCAGGAAGGGGGTCTTGCGGATGTCGGCTGTGGCGATTGAAGTTTTGATGCATCACTCTGGGGAGTTGATTTCTGTTTGTACTTGACAGCGACAGTCCAGTCGAGAATTCCCAGCGAAACTGCACTCGGGATCCTGATTTCCAAATACGTTCGGTGCAGGAAAACCTGGCTAGTTCTTGTGATTCCATTGGTTAAAGGCTTTTCTACTCGTCTGTTTGTGACCTTCAATGCTCTTCAAGATTGAAACCCACTCCCAACCCCTACTTGGAGAGGCATTGGACTTAGCAAGTCGTTTATAAGTAGGGTGATGGTTGGGGTAACTCCATTTAGAGTGCTTATAACTCTACTTATAACCTACTTACTAGGTCCCCTGCCCTTCCAAGTAGACCCTCATCCGTAATTCCTAATCTCCAAGCATCCCGCAAGTTTGAGGTCATGGGGCTGCGAATACGGTTGATGATATAAACCCTGCATTTTCCATAATAAGGTATATACCATAATTCCCATAGTTTAGGGTCCTTAAGGTAATGCAGGATTTATATCATCAACCGTATGGGCCATGACAGGAGGCTTCTGATGTCAACTGGCCCCAGAAGCCTAAACCGAAACCCTTAACTTCAAAGCGACACCCCTCGATTTATCGGTCCAAGAAGAGCCTGCCTGCAGTCTCCGTTGTGGTTCCTTTTTTTGGTTGACCAAAAACTATATGATAGGATCCTAACCATAAAACAGGTTAACCAAAAACAGAATCTACAATGGAGACTATAGGTGAAGCCTACCTATAGTCTCCATTGTAGTTCCTTTTTGCGGGTACCTTATAGGATCCTAATTATATATTTGGTTAAACCCAAAAAGGAACTACAGTGGATACTATAGGTGAAGCCTGAACCGCAGGTAAGAGGCCTCCGTCTCCTTTGGTTTACAAGTTTTGTTGCTTGCAAGCTGGTGCGGGCCTCAATCGCTGATTCGAAAGATCTGTGGTTGAATCTGTTGGTTTCCGTTTGGTGTACCGCAGTGTCTTGCTGTGTGATGTTTGCAGTTCGCCGCTACGGTGGACCACTTAGCATGCAATCTATACTACCCTAAACCCTAAACCCTAAACCCTAAACCCTTGTGAGCAAGAATGTTCATGCTGCCGCCACCAAGTCAAGGCTAACCTTGTGGACCTGCGCTGAATACACCCCCTCGCCCTCGAAAGCCCTAAACCCCCACACCCTAAACCCTGAAAGCAGCCTGGAAATAACTCCACTGTAGCAACCCTTGAAGGGGCCCTTAAACTCCACGCAGTCCCTAAACCGAAGCCGCAGACACCAAGGCATTGGTACCCCTGTGGCTACGCAGCAGGGGAAACCAGGATCTTCACCAGCACTCCTTCCTTCTTGGCAGGGGGTCAGGGGGTGCGGTTTAAGGAATTTCTGCTTCATAGTTGAGGTGTAATCCAAACTCGGGTGTGGGGTGTATGGTTCAGAGTTACTCGTAGGGTTTAAATAGAGGTTTTAGGATTTATGAAACAGTTGTCTTCCGTGTACAGCTTCCCTCTATACCCTGAGGCCCTAGGATCAGACTAGTGACTAGTGAAAGGTGCTTACGAGATACTGCAAACTTCTACGCTACACGGCGACACCAGCTACGCAAGTCAGCGCTGTCATGAACGTCTGGGACGGACAAGTGGGAGTTTCCAAAAAATAGGGGACCCTAATATAGTACCCTAGATTGTAGGGTCCTTATTATAAGGACCCCAAACTAAGGTACCCCTGTTTTCGAAAACCTCCATGTGAATGCAGAAGTCGCTGTCATGTATGTAACGCACGGTTCATTCCCAGACCCTGAACTCGAGAATCCATTTCTCCGAACTCCTACACCCGAAAATCCTAAGTTTTCTTAACCAAGCACATGAGGAGACCCTAATATCTGAAACCCAGATCCTGCGACCGATACGACGACAGAGAGAGTGGTTCTGAACCCCCAAAACCGCTCCGGAATGTTGCCCTGACTGTAGTAGCTTGTTAGAGTAACCCTTTATGGAACCCTGATCGTATCCCTTGTTGTAGTAGTTTGTTCTTTTGAGAACCCTGGTCGGGTATAGGATAGATAACCTTAGTCTCCTGAACCGTTCAGATTGCACCCTTAAGCCCAGAACCCCCTCAACCGTAAGCCCGAAATCCTAAGCTCTATAGGCCTTGGTGGATGTTTTCCTCTCCTGGTTAGCATACATCAAAACGGAGCTCATAAAGGACCGACAGTAGAAGCCCAAAAGTTGGAAACCCAATAGCCTCAATCCTTAAGAGCACTGTATAGGGAATCCCAGCACTAATTGAGGCCTTAATCCGGTTTCCAACTTTTCGGGGTTTACTGTAAACTCTCTAAGACCCTAGGGATCAAAATGGCAAAACAGCCTCATGTAGTATGGTCTTTGGGCCCAAAAGCCTTAATATATGAGTCCTTCTGTTGATGGTATAAATCCTGCATTACCTTAAGGACCCCAAACTATGGGAACTATGGTATATTAATTATTATGGGTAATGCAGGATTTATATCATCAACCGTTAGATTTATAGGGAAACCAAGCCCGACAGCCGACGCCCTTCAAACGCGATGCTGGAAGATGGGCCGAGGCTTTTGGGCAAGCTTAGCAGCTGGGCCGACACTTGGGTACGGTTGATGATATAAACCCTGCATTACCAATAATAAGGAATATACCATATTTCCCATAGTCTGGGGTCATCAAGGTAATGCAGGATTTATAGCATCAACAGTATTTGTCGAAAGTTAGGGTACCTTTTTGGGGGGGTCCTTATAGTAGGGATCCTAGTATGTAGGGTACTCTATTAGGGTACCCTAATTTCGGAAACTCCTACTTGGGTAGTTGTCAAAATTAGAGTCCCTTTTTTGGGTACCCCTGAATAATGGGTGCCGTACGATATGAAGGATCCCAACAGAGCCCCATAATGTTGACAACCACCCACTTGGGGGTTTAGGGGTTCGGGGTTTAGGCTTTAGGGGTTCAGCGGTTTAGGGGTTGAGGGTTTACGGGTTAGCTTTCCGGTTCCAGGCCCTTTGCGGATTCGACCTGGGTGTTCCGGGTCCTGTAAGGTTTATACACGGGCTCTGTATAGAGGGGGTTTGTGATGCTTTAAGGGTTCTGTTTTGGTATATACAGGGCTCTTTTCAAATATTGGGGATTAGGAAGGGCTCTGCATAAAGAGTTTGCGGTCTTCTACGGACATAATCGGGTTTACATTATGCATGTAAAACATGTATGTGTGCTTGATGAAGATCGTCGCACTCGTTTTGACTCATCCTCCAAGCGAAACAGCGCAACATGTGTGCCCGGGGGGCCTGGGTGCACTGCAAGAGAGAGCTGCAGTCTTCCGAGCCTGAACGTCCCAACTCATCCTAAACCTTATTACCCTACACCCCTACAGATTTAGAACGAAAGCTGAACCATAAACCCCAATCGCGGCATGGGGTCAGAGTGCTGAATAACCTAAGCCCGCATGCCCTTGCCATGACGGCTCTAGCACATAAACCCAAGACCCCGACTTCAAAGCCCAAGCCCGAATCCCCACCTACGCCCAAATCCTAAGCCCTTACCCTCAGGGTCCATGTACCCAAATAGTATATACTTTGGCTTTTAAAGTATAGTACTTTGGGGCCAAAGTATATACTATTTGGGTGAATGGACCCTCAGGGTTAACTCCAAACCCTAGCCCCGCTCAGGCTATCTTTTGAACCTCGCTTTGAATTTCAACTTTATAGCGCATGCGGCTCGTGATCTACCTCGCTTCCTCCGCCCTCAGGACGGCTTGAGGGTAATTTAGGGGCCTTAACTTTAAAGGGTTCCTTTAAGGGATACTAATAAGGGATCTATAAGGGTACCATAAAATGGAGGCCATAATAATTAGAAGAAGAGTTTTGGAACATTATGGGTATTGTGTTGAGGAACCCTCGGGAACGCAATTACTTTTTGTTCATTCAGGCTTCTGCACTATTGTAATTTTCCGTTCCTATGCGCTGTTTGAGGATCGTGGTGAGCGCATATAGGACTCTTCTCTTTGAATACTGATGAGCGTTCATGGCCCATATGGAGATTCGAACAGCAAACCTGCTTCGTAGAAGGTGTTTGCGATTTCGGCTGGGGCTAGGGTTTAGGGTTTTAGGGTTTGGACCGTTTGAGGCCTAGGATGTATCTACCTCTGGTGGCCTGCTTATGGTACAACTGATCTTCATAATGACATGACACAGGAAATGCAGCACACCTTGCCCTAAACCCTAAACCCTAAACCCTACTACTGTACCGGTCCAAGCATTTAGCAGACTTCCAGGGTTCAAGATTGTGTGGTTTAGGCTTGTGGTTTAGGGTTTACGGATGTATAGTAGAAGCCAGAAAGTTGGAACATTAGTATCCTCATGCCCTTAATGTAAAGTATAAGGGATCCTGTCCTAGCACTGATCCTCCTAAACCCGTGTTCCAACTTTCTGTGATTTGCTATAGGTTTAGGGCTGGAGTTGGGGATCTTAGAGGTTTCCCTCCCTGTCCAGGGCATCAAAGTTCCCACGCGGACCGCCTACGCAGTGCCACTGGCTGGTGCCAAAGTGCAGGGCTCAATGACCTTATCCCCGCAAGCGGCTTATATCAATCGGGTTTATGGTTCAAGGCTGCAAAGGTGCACAAGCGACTGCCATGCAATGCTTCCTCCACACCCCTCTTGCAACAACGCGTTTCCAACCCAGATATCGGCTGCAATCTTCCGTGGCTTAGTGTCTCAGACGAATCAGGGCGACTATGCAAGTTTCGTTTTGACCTGTTGTGCTGCCCCCTGCCTTCAGGAGTGGCAATCTCATAATGACATATAATTATCCGGTGAGGTCTTGTCTATTTCGCGCATGGCATCAGCTCATAGGGTTCAATCGAGCGTGTGAGGTTTTAGGGTATTCGTCTTAGGACGTATAGGGCTTAGCGTTTAGGGTTGCCTGGCTTGGGCAAATGTTCGTTTCTCCAATAGTTTCCTCAACGAGTAGCTTCTAGTGCGAGTCAGCGATGCAGGAAATCATGCTGCGTGCCCAATAGTCATGGCGCCCTGTTTGCCGTCTCTCACGAGACCGCACCTGTCGTCTGCCGTTTGGCCCAGAGGAATCGCAAAACGATGTTGCTGGCAACTAGGTGTAAGGCTAGGAAGCTGGACGCAAAAGGCAATCGTACAGTGTCTAGATTGTCATCATTCCTCGGTCGTTGCGATGGCACACAGGTCAGCGCTGTTCGAAGCTTTCGAAACAGACAGTGCATTCCGCTTGTGGCATACAGAGAACAACGTTTGCCAATGCTTATCCTGCCAGGGTGAAGGATACAGTTGGTCAGGGTCGCTGACCTTTTTGACTAATGGCGAGACCAACAACGAAGAACAGCTTTGGGTCATCACATCCTTCACCGAGGACGGGAATGCCTTCAAGATTGCCAACGTGAAGCACGGACTATTCTTATGCGCCCATAGGCGGCTCGCTGGCCCAATCTTCTTTTGTCATCGAGAGAACGGCGAGTCGGATCAGGCATGGCTCTGCCTTCCTACTCGCCAGGACCGTTTCGACCTCAACAATGTAAGTGTCGGCAAAGTAGCCAGTGGCTCTTGGCATGTGGAGCATGTCCGGACTTTTGCAGGCTTCAGCCGAAGGCCAGCACCAACAACTCCGGCTGCGGGTTCCGACACCATGGGCATTGCTGCTGCAGCCGGGGCAGCGGGAGCAGTGCTGGGGGCTGCAGCCATGGTAGTGGGCGCTTCGCTCCTGGCCAGCAATGACGATGAGCATCGGACACGTAATGGCAACGACAGACGCCGTGATGATCAGCGCCGACGTGAGCAAGATGACAACGCCGCCCTCGCAGCTGCGGCTGCTGGGGCAGCGCTTGGAGCCGTTGCAGGACTTTCCAATGCAGTTTCGTACTTCAGCGGAGCTGCTCCAAGGAGCTCTGCCTCTACGCCGGCAGCCTCAAACACAGGGACAGCGCCGCAGCCTACTCCGGCAAGCTCGGGCACGGGGACAGCGCCGCATTCTACTCCGGCAAGTGCGAGCACAGGGACCGCAACGCAGTCACCGGGTCGAGTAGTTGAAGAGCGGTACTCAGCTGCGGCGCGTGCATCACAGACCCCTTCTGATGGAGGCAGTGCTCCCGCATTTATTTTTGTTTACATCTATTTGTTTTTTGTATCTTTGTCATTGGTTGTTACTGTTCGCGCTGTGCCCGGACTTGCACGCTTGTTCTGAACGACCCTGCCGAGGCAATCTCGGATACGTGGCTGGTCAGACGGGCACGGCATCAGCCACACGCTGCAATGACGATGCAGAAGGCGCGCCGCTTTTCACTCTGTGTCGGTATTATGAAGGCCATGAGAGGCTAGTCGCAGCCACAGTTAAGACATACTCCTGTGATGAAGACGGAAAGGTCCTGTTGATTAATTATATCTTGCTGTTATTAGTTTCTCTGAGTAGCAGCAGGATGTTAGTGCATGCTTGCGGCCTTAAGTATCATGCATGGTGCCCAAAATGGGACCCTAAGCCCCTAAATCCCAAACCCTAAACCCCCTAAACCGTGCTGTGCCTTGTTAGTTTGGAGAAGCAAGCTGCTTATGGAGCCGCAAGTAATTAATCAAGAATTGGGTTTGCAGCCGATACCGTGGTTGAGAAGACTATTCAATCGTTATCGTCGCCTCCACACGAGAATTCTCTCGTTCCATACTTACTTGTAGAAACCAGCAGGATGGGAGACCGACAGCACGGCGTGGACGCGGGTTTCCAGCTACGACGAGTCTTCTTCACCGGCAGCTTCGTCGAAGGAAGTCCAAGACAACATCGATCAGAAAGGCAAGTCTAGTTCTGCACGGTTCATGGCCTTTCTCTTGCATGATCAGGACGGCAAATTGAAGATGGCAGTTACCATCAGTTACCAGTAAGACCTTGAATGATGCTTTACCCAAGGTCAGTACTGATTCATGCTAGCTAGTATGACCTTGACGACGCTGGGAATGTTGAGAACGGTCATGATTATGGTGCTGGTGCTGGTGATCAGCATGGTCACATGCGTAGTGGTGATAATGATGCTGGTCATGGTGATGCTGCTGATAATGATGGCTTTGGCGGTTGCGTCGCAAGCATGACTTCTGGTCGTAGCAGCAACAATCAATGATGCCTGTGATGATGCTGCTCATGACGACGGTGCCGCCGCTGGTGATGATGCGTTTTGTAGCGATACCCTCGGATGCTGCTGACTGCAAAATATGCTGACATGTTTATAAGCCTGACCTCTTGCGGTGTTTGGCCGAATGTTTTCAACAGCGACCAAGATGGTGACATTGACAATCACATGATGCTAATGACGTTTATGAGATGTCAGGCGAGGTCGCCGATCAGGCGAGCTGTCACTAACAGGATGGGCTTGGTCAGGACCAATACGATGATATTTGTGCTGGTTGCCAGCCGCCGCCTTGCCAGAAGCGATAAGAACAGTGGAGATGGTGACGGAGGTGGACGATGGTCAAGCCGTGCTGCTGATGACCATGATGATGACGCCGATTCCAGGAACATGCAAGTGCAGATGCTTATCCTTGAGGGTCCAATGTACCCAAATAGTAAATAGTATATACTTTGAGCCCAATGTACGCATATAGGGAGTACTTTAAGGTCAATGTATATACTACTTAGGTACATTCACCCTTAGGGTATCGGGCTTCTGAGCCGAGCCATCTCCGCTCACACATTCGTACATTACTCTTAAAGTTTTGGGTTTAGGGTTCCAGTCTGTAGGGTTTTCGGGTTTATGTACCGGTTTAGGGCTTATAAGTGTAGCGTTCAGGCATTGAGCAAGCAGTGAATGCCATCTCATCTTCCGCCGAGCCTACGCCTCTGAAGCGGGCGCGCTTGCGATGTCTCTCATCGCTCCTTATCAGTCTTTTGGAAAGCCCGAGTGATGCCAGCCGGCTCAGAAAGTATGACCTACTGGTGCAATCAAAGTTGGACGCCGCTTGCTTCTACACCCTGGAACTGGCTTCCTGGCTGTAAGACAGCTCTTTCAAAGTCTCAAGGATTCGTGTATTGAGTGTCTGCTCATGATTATTAACTTTCAGATTTCTGGGATAATGGGTCTAGTACTCTTGTTGAGGGGTCTTCTTGAAGTTCCTGCAAGGACTCCTATCCTGGGTTCGCCAAAACAGACTGGAAGGTTGACAGGCCCTCTGTTAAAACCCCTGTCTACAAGCCGTTACCCTTCAACGCTAAACCCCTAAACCCTAGTCCCTACAAGCTGCCTTCATGCTTTTCGTCTGACGGGGTGTATAGTAAGAAGCCTAGGAGCCTAAAGCCCTAAACGCTAAGTTTTGCAAGGCCGGATTCTGCGACCGCGGGGATGAGTTGGTGTACCAAACGGAAAGTGACGAGAAGCCTGTGCACCCTGGCAAATAATCATTTCAGCAGAGATGATATGACAGTAAACATAGTCTTAGTAATAGTCCGAAGAGCAGTATAGCAATAGTAATCTTTCTACTGCAGTTATCAATGTAGCCATACACAGAGTAATGGCATTCGCACTAGTACTAGTAGTAGTTGCAGAAATAGTATTGACTTGTAATCTGAATCGTGATAGTAGTAGTAGTAGTAGTAGTAGTAGTAGTAGCAGTAGTAGTAGTAGCTGTCTCGTCGCTGTCGTAGTAGTAGTAGCAGCAGCAGCAGGAAGTAATAGGGGTAGTGATAGCAATAGCAGCAGTAGTAGTAGTAGTAGTAGTAGTGGTGGTGGTGGTGGTGGTGGTGGTAGTAGCATCAGTAGTAAGTAGTAAGTAGTAAGTAGTAAATAGTAAGTAGTAGGTAGTAAGTTGTCGGTAATAAATAGTAAGTAGAAGTAGCAGCAGCAGCAGCAGTTGCTTTGAATGCAGTTTGTGCGTTCATGTTTCTGGCATTGATCTAGCCACTTGTGATGGTCGTTTCCGCGACCATTCTGCTTTGGTGACTATGGCAGTCAGCACCATTTCCAAGCTCATGTGTAACCACCAGTGATATGTGTCCAGGCAGTTAGCACCAGCAGCGAGAAGTTGCTGCTGCTATTAGTTGCGCTGGTGTAGCTACTCGAACCGCAAGCCACGGTGCCGCATCGCCCTTAAACCCTATAGGCCCTAAACCCTAGCCAGGCTTGTTGTGCTGGCCATGCTGGAGTCTGCACTCGACGCTTTGCCCCCAGAGGCCGCCGCTTAACACAATCAAGTTCAGGTGTTGTTTCTCGAGTGTTTAGCGTTTAGTCTCGGAGGGTAGGCATCTTCTATGTACCGATGTTTCGCGGGGTCAGGATGCACATGCATGGGTATAAGCAAACGAAGTTTAGGTCTGTAAAACTAGACGTCCGCATATGTGTATATGTGCGACTACATAATGTGGGTAAGTATAACTGTACGTACATACATACGTAGTTAGTTACATACATAGGCATGTAAACATTTATGCTCAGTATGCAGAGTATGTTTACATATGTACAAATATATACATATATGTACGTATATGTACGTATATGTGTATATATATACATACACTTACCTGTACATATATAAGTATATACATACACATGCACACATACATACATATATGCATACACACGACAGACCAAACCTGCACTTTGCCATTCGTCGTCAGCCAAGATCACTGTCCCAAAGCCCCAGTCCTAAGCTACAGCCCGCAACTCTTAAGACTAACTCGAAATCACAAACTTCTAAGCCGTATAACCTCTGAAGGCCTTTACCTGAGACTCTGGAGTCTGGAGGTCCTCTACTCATGAATGATGGGCATTTAGGCCAGTATTTCCTGGTTCTATCGGGTCACCGGTGTAGGTGTCCAGTGAAGGATTCATTGTCAGCTGGAGATGCGTGTTCTCAGCCTCATGTGCTGCGACTGGCAGGACGAGGAAGTCACGGACTGGAAAGAAGTCGCAGGACTCCTTGATTTTAGGGGCTTAGGGTTTAGGGGTTTAGGGTTTAGGGGTTTAGGGGTCTAGGGTTTAGGGTCGTGTTGTAAATCGCAGAGAAGTTGCTCTAGGGTCGATAGAACAGAATAGAATGCGATACAAAATGATGTGTAAGTTTTGCAACTACTGCAACACCAATCATAATTATGAATGATTCAGGGTCTAGGATTTAGGATCTAGGGTTCCTCGCATGCTCCTCAAAACCTCGTACTCTGTGCCAGACACATTGTCCATTGACTCCGGTTTAGGGTTTAAGGTTTAGGGTTTAGGGATTTAGTAGGGTTTTGAGAGTGGGTTCTTTTTCGAGCGAACTTGTCATGGACACCTTCTGGAATGTGGTGCCAATCAACTGTAAGTTCTGTCAGTCCTGGGCCCTGAACGCCGCACCCTAAACCCTATTCCCGTCACCCTGGCCCAAACCTTACACCCTTGACCCGCGAACTTGTACCCTAAACCCAAAGCACAATAAACCCTAAACCCTAAGCCCTTTGGCTAAGGCCTCACACAGCCGCCAGGCCCGAATCTTCCTGCTGTCGCCGAAGCATACAAGCAGCTTACCTCTGGACCGGATGCAGCGAAGCGGAAGGAGGAGCATGTGGGAGTTTCCGAAAATAGCGGTCCCTTATTTTGGGGTCCTGATAATAAGGATCCTATTATTTAGGGTACTATATTAGGGTCCCCTATTTTCGGAAACTCCCATGTGTCTGCCAGTGTTCTTATCGGTGTTCTCCTTATTGCTACTACTACGAATAGTTTGTGTGTATGTATACACATGCAGGCAGAAATATGTGTACGTACACACAAGCACGTATGAACATATATATATATATATACCTATGCATGTATGTACATAAATACATACCTACATACCTGCATACCTACAAACAAACATACATACGTGCATACATAAACAACTACATAGATACATTCATACGTAAATACATACATGCATGTGTACATGCATGCATGCATCCATGCATATATATATATATATATATACATACATACATACATGTATACATATAAACATACATGCATACATATGTACACGAATTAGATGTACATACGGGAATATACGTACCCGTTTATACACACACACACACACATACGTATATGTATATACACACACACGCATGCATGCAGTTACGTATGTACGTATGTCGCTATGTAGGTAGCTATGCATTTATGTATGTGTGTATGTACGTAGGTATATGTGTGTGCATATATACATTTACATACATGTACGTGTTTACATGCACAGATACATACATACACACACACACACACGTGGATGTATCATAATATTTTATAGTATATTACAAAATTTAGATACAAAAATATACCATACTATAGTGTGTGTACATATGTACATACATGTTCGCAGACACAAGTAGGGCTAAACTTAGACATAGAAGGGCATACAGATAGGTAGGTGGATAGATAGGCAGGTACCTATATATGTACAATACATATATATATATATGTATATATATATATATATACACACATACATACACACTGAACTAGGTAGATAGATATACAGATCGATCGATAGACAGACAGATAGGTTTATAGAATACAGATATTGATAGAGCGAGATAAATCGACAGGTAGGTAGATAGGTAGAATGGGCGAACGATCAAAACAGCAGACACATGTAACTATGTAACTAGCTCTTGTACATACATACATACTTACATGCACACATATATGCACACATATATGCATACATACATGCATACATATATACATACATACATACATACATACGTACATACATAAAAAAACATAAGCATGTATCTACACACACACATATATATATATATATATATATATATATCAATTAACTAAATGAATATTGTATATATATATATATATATATATATTCTTTGTTTACATACATATATATATATACACGCATCGAGAGAAGGAGAGAGCGAGAGAGAGAGAGAGAGAGAGAGAGAGAGAGAGAGAGAGAGAGAGAGAGAGAGAGAGAGAGAGAGAGAGAGAGAGAGAATTTGGTGGGCAACTATTCACTTTTCTGTTTCTCTCTTGAGTTGTATATGTAGACAGTTCGTGTTTGCACAGTTTGTCCTTTGTTAGATCTATCTGATGACTGCAATGCCCTGTGACAAGCATCGGTCTTGTATAGTGGAATGACCAGTGCTTCTGTTTAAACCTTTATGCTGCAGTGTAGCGTCCATAGTCCCTTCTTCATCGCGCGAAAGAGATTCTGGAAGGGCTGGGCTTGCTTGGAGAAGGAACTGAATTCGGAATTCGTGCTTGTAAATATCGTACCTGTTGGCTTGACATTGCAGGATTTCGGATGCTTTGCAGCTCGCTGCAGAAGAAATAGCCCCGAAGGATACCACGAAAAGCCCGGATGATTAGGCACATCTGGCTCGAGCCCTCTTTTCCGAGCAGATGGGCTTCAGCAAGGAAGTAAGAACTAGTCTGTTCATCGCCTCGATAAAAGTTACAGCACTTCTGATTAACATACTACTGAGTTACTACTGCACTGATACCCCCGCCGGAATACAAATCGACACTCGCACAGTGTTTATGCTTCAAAGTGGTTGGCTGCGGGTTTTCGCATGTAGACTTGAGAGGACCTGTCAAGCATCTGGGCCATTGTGGACAGTGTGACGTGGCATCGCGTGAGGTGGAAATACAAGCCACTAGACCGGCGCGCGGCTGAGCATTGGGTGCAGCGCATAGAGAAGCTAGTTGCCCTGAACGACCTCGAAGGTATTCAGCAGGGATCTCGTTCTCCGTACTGCCTTGCTCTCCACCTCTGCATTCATCCTTGCATAACTGTGTGAAACGGGCGGGTTGCCCGAGATTGAGCATCATGACTTCATGCGCTTGGGCCGCGTGACACCTCTGTGGGCCAGACGCAGAAAGCCCAATACCCCTTAATCAAGGAATACAGATCAAATCGTAATATGAAGCCCTTTTCATCGAAGCCACATTCCTTCATTAAGGGGTATTGGGCTCTCTGAAATCATAGTATGAAGCCCTTTTCAGCTAAGCCACACTCCTTAATTGAGGGGTATTGGGCTCTCTGTAGTAATAGTAATACTAGTACTAATAGTAATAGTAATTGTAATAGGCCACTGAGAATAGGAGGCTCGTGTGGACAATTTCAACTCTAATCAGCTGAGGTCGTCGCAGCAGAGTTTGGAAGGTACGCGTGAGAATCTGCAGTTGCTGCAATGCGCGGGCTTCGTGCGTGATGAAGACGGCACGATGACTTTCACCGGAGCGAGCTCCGATCAGTTGCGCCAAGTGCAGGATGTGATCCTCGATTTGATCAAGACTGCTGGCGAAGAGAGCATCGTAGGAAGCTCGGCAGGTAGCGTTCCACCTCAGACCGCGAGCACGACTACCACAACACAACGACGTCTATTCAATGTCCCAGAAAGGCGTTTGCTTTTGCACACCATCCGCTTCACCCAAAACAGTGTTGCCTCGCACTTTCGTGATGGCCGGCCTCTACAGGAAACTGTGAACTTGTTGCGGTCTGGGATGGCTGTCGATGACCTTCCGGCCATCCGTGTGGTCGAGTGCATGAACCACTTTTGGAGTCTGGACAATCGACGCCTGAGCTGCATGAAGGAGGCTTTCCCGGAGCGACGCCATGCAGACAAAACGATTCCAGTGAAGATGGAAGCCTTATCCGATCCCAAGGTCCGCGATGAGTTCACGCGGAAGTTTACGACAGGAACAGAAGTAGTAAAACGAAACGGTTCTTCAAAGTCATCAAAATGACCTCAGCAGTTTTGTTCAATTGTTTGCGCTTTTGTGTTATTCTTTTTCCGGAAGCACTGCAGCAGTTTGGCTGCATTGCAAATACCTTTCATTGCTTCTCGAAGAACTCCCCCAAACAAAGGCGGGTGTTGCTGCACAAGTAGGTTTGCTCACGTGAAGCTGCCTTGGGCTTCGCCCTCGTTGAGCGAAATTGCTGCAGATTTCCGTGGGAACCCAATGCGTCTTCAGATCTTTGAACTGTGGAGCACTCCAAAGCTTAAGGCTTACCTGCCAGCGGAGGAGAGTCGTACCGGGGATTATAAGGTCATGACTTAAGACACTGACTGCAGCAAGCAGAGTCGTGCATCAAGCTGGATGGTGCCAGGATGTGTAAAGATTTATGCCTCAGGGCTGTGGTTTAGGTTTACATAAAAGGCTGGTGGCTGGAAACTGCACAAGTCAGCGACCACAGGAACATATGGACCGCACGAAGCTCTTAGTTCAGCTCAAATCTCCAAATCCTGCTCTGAACGGACTAAGGTACGAGTCGTTCAGTCTCTTTTGTCTCTATCCCCCCAGGCTTCAGATCATAGCTTGGCAAGCAAAAGACATGAGAACGGGTTCATGGAAGTCTGCCACGACTGAAGCCCGTTCTGTTGCAGGCTGAGACCAGGATGTGTGTACCTGAGCCCCAAGTAGCCTACCTTTGCAGGGCTTCTTCGTATGATGTCCTGAAAAATGTCCCTTCAATAGTAGGTTTTCTGTGTGGGTCCAGGTAGGACATGAGAATGTAGTTTTCACTTGAGGGTTTGGGTCTGCGGCTTTAGGGTGCATGCATGCTGACAAATGCCAAACATTGATGCATATTGTCGACGCCATTGCCTGAAGATGGAGTTGCCGAGAATCACAGATTCCCGCCAATTTCCGAAACCGACATTGAATATAACTATCGTTGATTTTGATGAAGGCTATGAACGAGTTCAGCATCCGTGGTCTTATTGCAATATTTACGGTTGCTGCCAGCATGACCAATAATTGATTGCCAGTTGGAGTGTCCTTTTGGCTAAACTGCCGGGCTTGCTGTACCTGTATCGTTGTTACTGTGATTACCGGCCCTGTTGTGTACACGTAGGTGCGGTGCTTCTGTCCCCACAATTACAAGTCTTGCCTTCATTGTTATGATTCTCATTAGTTGTATGTCCACTGCGTTTTGACGGGATAAGTTCTACTGCTGTTGTTGGTATTGCTGTTCCGGTCTTTTTGTCTGCTTATAGGTATGAATATTCAAAGTGCCGACCGCATATGTCAACAGCACCATGAGTTGCTGCCACCATGGTAAAAACCTGTAAAAATAAGAGGAATGGTGTTTGATGCTGATGCCGAACTCGATTTCTATGTGTAATTTTGTCGAGGCTGCTGCTGTTGCTGTTGCGTTTGCTCGCATAAATATATCAAGATTTCCCTTTCCCTGCGTTCATGATGGTTATTCTGGCCAGCTTCCAAATTTTGCCCGCTATTGCTTAGCATCGTGCCGATTGTGTTGTTGCTCTAAGCTCCTGAATGTGGAATTCTGCTCTTTTACTATCTAAGGGACTCCCTGTCTCTAACCAAGAGCTTGTAAACCCCAAACCCTCAAACCCTTCAACCAAGACCTAAGCCCGCAACCTTTAAGCCCTGAAGTCGAACAAGCCCTCTACCTAGAGGCCCTAAAGCCACGTTCCGGACCTGAATCACATGTTCTGGTCTGCAGACTTCGGCACTTCGGTTCAGTGGAAACTCTGGACACGGCAACGAACAAAGGCTCCTGAAAAAGAGCAGGTTGCAGGGGGAAAGTTCGTTTCTACAGGGGCACTATAGAACTATAGAAATTCCTGAGAGTATGTTGGGGCTTTTAGGTGCGGTTTACTATAGGGGCCTGAATGATTGGCAATAATAATTGGGGGGTTCCTTATGACATTTATAGTACAATGGGCACCGAAACCCTGTTCGAATTATTAAGGCACCTATATTATAGTACTCTTATAGATCCCTTATACTATCCCAAAGAACCATTTAAAGGAACCCTATTCGAGGCCCCTATATTCGGGGATACGGCCCTTCAGTCTTGGATTTTTGGTCTCGGTGGCGGTCCTAGCTGGGTCCCAACTGGCGCAACCACTGTTGATGATAATACTTTTGTTGGGTACCTGTTCATTAAAGGAACCATTATGAATCAAAAGCCCATACTCTTTTCTCCCTGGTTACTTCAACGTCCAGTATAGATCCTGCACTACCCTATTAAGGAGCCTAAACTATGGGAATCATGGTATATTCCTCTTATTATGGGTAATGCAGGATTTCTATCATCAACCGTATCTGTAGAAGGCTGCCGACATTGACAGGATCCGCCGGTTTCCAAGAAAAACGTACCGCACCCCTGGGAATTATGGTAGCAGCTGTCAAGCGGTTAACCCAGCCAGTGGTGCTTCGCTACAACTGCCATGGTATTCCGCGCTGCATAGGGAATGGTGCAAACATGCGAAATCTTACCACGCAGATATTGGCAGTGCGGGTATACAAAACTAACCTGTATACGAAGAAAGCTACTACTTGTGCCTGCCACGAGCTTTAGCACGCGGCGCCACTGCTGCTAGTACTGCTACTACTAACTAATAAGAATAATACTATTACTGCTACTGCTACCTCTTTTTCTCGGATGCTGGCGTCTACGGCGATGACGAGACCATTACCAGTCTCAACGCTAATGCGCACATGCCAACAGCGAATAGACGGCTGTGCTTCAAGAGAAAAGCTAGTCCAAAAGTCATGAACGTGCTTATTGTTCTTTCGATTGCGCTGTAACACTAATATCCGTATCATCATTCCCATATACATATTCGGAGCTTATAAGCACGTGAGAAGTTGCTCGACGAACGGACATCATAGATGCTGGCATGCGCATTGTCTGAGGTTGTTGCCACGCGGCTGGCGGCAAGCACTACGCTAGTGGCTGTCCTTCGGGCTGCATTTGCTAAATTCTGGGGTTTGTCGTTGTCTTGGGACATGCTCCGGCATGAACCAATCTACCGGCTATTCTTGCAGTCCTTCCAAGTCTTTCAACCTGGTGAGTCCACGCGATGAGCAGTCCGATACCTGGACCCCAAAAGTATGTAGAATAATAGCCTTTTCGAGGTGTTCGTGCATGGAAGTTTAAAGGACAGAAGCACATTCGAAAATATCAAGACATGTAAGTACGACTCGCTACTACCTGTAATTGTGCACGCCATTCCCTGTTTTCCGCGAGCCTCATGCCAACACTTATCCGAAATCGAACCCCGAAGCCCACATCCTAGAGGTGACGTAGGCCCAGGGTTCCAAATTTTCTACACCTCGCCTACTGCTGACGGACAAAGGCCTGCATTGTCCATACTGAGGAAGAGGTGTTTTCGGGGGGTGTTGCAGAGTTTTGTGCATCATACCTCCAACTGTTTGGCAGGTGTTCGGTTCGTACCTCTCCGCCCCCGCCGCCTTTTTCCTAGCAGGCAGGGACTATTCGGGGTTCAAGGTTTATGTTGGTGGGATTTGGTATTGCTGCTGCTACTACTAGGATGTCGACTTGGCGTGTAAAACCTTCAGTAATTCTACATGACCATAGTCGTTTCTTTTTTTCAGGATCGCAGCGTTGTGTCTCTGCAGTCGCAGCAGCTCCGGCCGGAAAATCCAAAGACATCTAACCGAGATCGCGTATGCCGAAGCTTCTTTCCGTTTTTGTGTCTGCACGGATCACGGCTTTTTCTCTTATAATGTACAAGCCTGCGTGGACTGCAAGGGTGTACATGAACTTGTAGATGCCTTTCGCTTGAACCGGGAGCTTGCGCGACCTGCCTCAAAGTATGGCGACAGAAATGGGATGACAAACAAGGTATCGAAGTTGGGCTTGGGGATTGAGCCAGAAACCGCGTGGGAAGTCTCAAACACAACCGCAGGCGCCGCCAGACACCACTGCAGTTTATTGGATTTAGGTGGGTAAAATTCATCGAAACCTTCAACCCTGTACTTTATCAGATCTCTGCATATTGGGTTCCCTTTCTGATTTTTCATTAAGCTGCACCAGTGTATACTGCATAACCCCAAAAGGCCCTTTAGTCGTTCTGAACCCTAAACCCTCTCTCCTAAACCCTGTATCAAAGAAACCTCAACCCCAAAACGTTCTGGGCGTGATTGCTGAGCAGTCCTCGCGCTGTTCCGAAGTGGCGATCTCAGAACCGGAACGCTCGGCCAGGGTTTTGGGTTTCGGGGTTGTTTAGGGGTTTAGGGGTTAGGGCGGTCAAGGTTTTAGCGGGTGTGGAAGTTCCAAATTTAGGCGGAAGTGGGAATCTCCCCTTCCGAATGTTTACCTATCTATCTGCGAAGTTGGCCCCTGCATGTTACAAAAGCTAGATGTACGTGCACATATACATACAAGCATGTAAGTACAATTCGTTACATGAGTATATATATATATACATACATATATATGTACATGGATAGATAGACATGTTTTGGCGAGTTTGTCTGTGTGTGTCAGTCGGCCAGTCTGCCTGTCTGCCTGTTTGCCTGGCTGCCTGCTCGCCTTCTTGTCTGTTTGTACGACTGTACACATGTATGTATGTTGTATGCATGGATGGAGGCATGTACATGCGCACGTACGACCTAGCGTGCGTGTATGTATGTAAGTAGTTTTGTTTTATGCATGCATGTTTGTATAATTTTGTATATGTCTGGGCATGCATGTACATACGATCGTATGCAATTATGTATGTAATTATGCATGTAAGCATGCACATTACAATTAATTATGTTCGTTGTTTGACAGATCCCTCACCTCCTCACCGAGCTGCTCGGTTAACTCCGTCGTGCCAGTTTTTGTGGGTGTGTGCGCCTGCGAGAGTCTGTTCACGAAGACCCCTACCCCGATTTACGAATTAGAAAATAAAGGACAAATTGATTAAGTGAATACTCGAAGCAGCACTTCCGTGCACAGCGGAGTAGTTCTACCACTT